CCGGCTGGGCACGGCCCCGCGGCCTCTTCCCCGCGCCCCCCGCCTCGGCCGCGTTGGAGCATCCCGGGGGAAGCGCTGGGTCCCGGGCGCCGCCTGCAGGGGAGCGACGGGGACAGCCTGTGGGGACAGAGCTCAGGAGCGTTCTGCGGCCTGCCAGAGCTTCCCCGGGGGTTTTCTTTGGTGTGCGCTGAGGGTGGAGCGTGGCTCCGTGCTCCTGGGGCCGGCGGCGTGCCCAGGTTCGCAGGGTGGTGCCGCATCGGGGAGGTGAAGGGAGCCTCCTGATCCCGCGGGGATGTGCTGCCCGGGTTAGCAGGTGTCAGGTGTTACCCTTACCTGCAGTCCGCCTCGTCTTTCGCTTCAGGGATCCGAAGAATTCCAGATTGCATCCCAGAGTCTTCTAAGTGAGTGCTCCCTCGGGAGCGAGGCTTAATGTCTCTCGCAGCTGTAGACTGTAAGGCCGCTTGGAGGATTTATTTTTGCATATATTTTCGTAGTGAAAAAGGATGACACTTATTTTTCCATTCGTCATTTGATGGAGGATCTCAAATAAATGGAGGTACAAGCTTCTTTTTAGTGTAGGGGGATGGTGTCTGAAATTGCTTCAGAGGCCGTTCGGTTTTAGCCCACTTGGACATTTTTTACATTTTCCGAAGGGAATGCTTATTGCCATGTTGCTTGTTGAAGTCCCACATAAATAGTTTGGGCTTCAAGAAAACTGTTGTTTAGTTGCACAAAAAAAGGTCCTGAAGTAGTCAGATGGGAAAGCTGCCCTACCAGATCATCATTTCTTGAATGGCCCTCCTACCTGCTGTGGGCTTTGTTGGTGTTCAGTCTGTGTCTTGGAAAACAAGAACTCTTAAGGAGGAAAGGCACTGGCCAGGCACTGGAGTTAGTTGCCCAGGGAGGGTGGTGGAGCTGCCATCTCTGGAAGTGTTCAGCAAGTGTCTGGATGTGGCACTTGGGGATTACGGTGGCGCTGGGTTGATGGTTGGACTAGATGATTGTAAAGGTCTCTTCCAACCTTGATCATTATGTGGAAGGAAAAAATAGACATACGAGCTTTTGCTGAAATTATCAATTATATTTATAAATGTAAGTGAACTACATTTAGCCGCTGCACCTACTGAAATTAACATGCAATTTCACATGTAATCTAGAAGTTGCAGTCTCAGATTTGGAGGGAGATAGTTTAATTGCCAAGAGACCAAACTTTCTTTCCTTGCTCTCCTCTCAAATCAGAAGTTATTTCATGAGGGGCTGAGAATTTGGCCTAATTAGCTTATAATATTTCCCCAGTTAATTTTAATATCACTCTTCTAAAGTTTGCCTCAAAGTGCAATAGAAATAAAGACTAAACTTTTCTAAATTGAAAGCCTATTAATGGAAACAAGTTTTGGATAAAAAATTCTCTGCTTACTAGATGAGGCATGTACTTTCAAGATAATTACATGCAAAGTATGAGTGGGCAGAAAAGCGGTAGAAATATCAAGATGTTAAGGGAGTTAATAAAATACTCCATGATAATGTTGAACAACCAAACTGTGTGTTGAAATCTAATTATGAAAAGCTGTCTGATCTCTTAATTTAAACTTCTTTCATCAGTTACTTTAAATTGAACTACTACTGCAAACATGCCATTCTGTCTTGTATTGTTTTTCATGCTGTTAAAAGGGTGTTACATGATACCTGTCACCGTGTATGTTGTTCTCAGTGTTTAACTTCTGCAGATGTGGGGAGAGGTACAATAATATTACTTGCCCAGTATGAGATCAGTTCTTAATGACAAAATTGCATGTCAGTGTGTGTCTTTCTCTTAAAGCTTTTATCTTCAATTTGTTGCATCATGGTGGAATGGGAAGCAGTTCCTACAAGCAGACTATTTTCTGTTTGATGTAAATCTAAGTAATGCTTCTAGAAATGGTTCAATTTTACTTGATTACAGCACTCATCATAGCAATAAAGAAATTTAAAGGGAAAAGAAAGATTTGTTTTGCCTTTTTTAATATTCAGAGGATATTTTTTAAAATCTCGTTGACACAGACGTTGAAAAGGGAAAAAAGTCAGGGTCTTTTTTGTGAGTGTGGTGCTTCCTGAGAGATGTCATCAAACATTCAGAACAGAAATGAACCTTTCTGAAAAGATGATTTTTTAAAAAAGTATGCTCTTAATTCTTTAATTTTTCTTCTACTTCTTTCCTTCATTACTCCCTTCTTTCTAATTTATGTCAGCCTTGTTTAAGAAAAACTTTTTTAAGTAAAATGAATTAATTGCTCCTATCCGTTCTGTCTAAAATACTCAATTCTTTGAATTGTCAAAAAACCTTCAAAATTATCTATTTCATACTTAAGCTTTATGGCTGCTACAGACAGTGAGCAATTTACAGTAAACCTTTTCCCTCCTTTCATTTAATTCTTTCCATTAACAGTTGCACTCAACGGTCTTAGGGATATTTTCCAACTTTTAACAGTTCTATGATTCTATTTCCTCACCTTTGCAGAGTTACAGTGACAGTGCAAATATTTGTGATTAACTTGGTTGCTTAATGAAGCAGAATCAGTCTGTGTCATATGATGTTTCTTTATGATTTTAATGAATGTTACAGGAATGGCTGTGCTGTCTTGCTGTAAAAATCTGCCTAGACCAGTGTGCCTCAGCTGAAAGAAATGTGGGTAATGGATGTGCAAGACAGGGAGCAAAGTCTTGGCAAAAAAAAGTCTTTAGACTGGGGACAGGAAGCCCAGCAGTTGCATTTTTCTAGGTTGGAGCACCACTGGGATGGATCCACTAATTTCCTGGATGCCCTCAAGAAATAATAGATGCTATGAGATTTTCCCTACCAGGTCACTGGAGAGTTTTATTGTTTTGGATTTTTTTACCCAAAACTTGTAATCATACCTTTTTTTGGAAAAAAAACCAAAAAAACAAACAATCCAAAAACCTCTTTCTCTGTAATTCCTGTTCTTTTTGAAGGAGAGAGAGCATACAGGGTGTTTTTAGCCTGTTCTTTAGGGGAGGGCAGCAGCAGTGGCCTTATGCAGGTACTCAGGGAAGAATAAGAATCAGGGATATCATAAGAATGATATCTTCCCAGAATGCTCTCCCAATATCTACTATGTTTAGTTCATGGAGGGATAAGCTACCCAGAGCCAGATGTGATATTTAGTAACCCACAATGAGCTTCTTTCATGAACTTTCCTGATATGTAATCCTTGACTTGATATAAATTTAGCATCCACAATATGCTTTGCCAGTGTTTATGGAACCCTTTGCAAGGTTGCTGTTTGTTACACGAAAAACTGCACCTTTCTAACCTTGACTGTACCTATTCCAATGTTTATTCTATGCTCTAGAATTTGTACTGGGAGAAATACTAGGACTGAAATGTGTGTCCACTTCCTTTGTGTTACTTTTGCTTCTAGAATGTTCTTGTATGCTCTTCTATCAGCTGTAGCAGAGAGTCACACTTAGGTAGTTTTTTTTTGTACAGAAGCCATTCCATACCCATGGTCATCATAGAAGTGAGACTGAGGATGTGCAAAAGAAACAAAAGGGTCTGAAGAGAGAGACTAGTTGAAAAAGCAGATGTGATTTCCACATTAAGAATTAAAACTGTGTCAAAGTTGAGTGGAAGGTTTTGCAGTTAGATTTTTTTTCTGACCATATTATCACTGTTCAATAACTGTTAATTATGGAGGTTAAGTATTGACAGCAGAGTCAAAATTAAGCATATCCATCTAAGTTCTAGGTCTAAACTATCATTTAACAAAAGCATTTTGTCTGTCAGCTGCTTCACCTGGTATTTTGGCTCATCCCTCTGCCTTTCTATCCCTTCGTCCCTGATTCTAGCTGGCAACTGTTGTCTCTGTCTAGCTGTACCAAGTGCAGTGCAGTATCACTCAGGGTGACAGTCACTCTTTTTGAGATGCTGAGAGCACCACAAAGTTTTCTGGAATTTCTCCAAAAATAACTCCAGTGCTGTGATCCAAGGGGAAAATATTTAAGGAGTCCTGAAGGGATTCTGAACATGTGTCTTCACTTGAGGGCCACAGACTGCAGGTTATTCCCTGTTTTCATTCAATGACCTCAGGTATAAAAATGGCTGCTGCTTTCCCAGGTGATCCCTGCCACACAGTAAATGCTGAAGCATGAAAAATAAAGGCTCTCAGAGAATGTAGTGGAGCCTATAGAAGAAACACATATTCTTTCTCTATACTGAAAATTAAAAATAGCACAGTTTTGACTTTCTAGTAACTTCCAGTGGACATGGCTGAGGAAGAGGCAAGAACATGAGTTCTCTAGAGCATTGTATGACAATGATATAGCAGGTCGAAGGATAAAGCAGAGATATTTAATGGAATGTAAATAAAATGCAGTCAGTCTATGAAATATAAACAGGAGAAAACAAACTTCAATATATTTATATAAAACTGCATCTCAGTGACTATATGAATGGGCACTGATGTGTTTGACAGAGCATGAAGGGACATTACTCAGCAGACATGGTACTCCTTGCATTCCCAGATCCAAAGTCCTTTATACGTAAAGAACACAAATTAAAAATCCCAACTGAACATTGAAAAGTACATCTTTGGGCTGTTGATTTCTGCTGAGTTTTTGTTCCCTGCTCTCTATGATCAAAGTCACTGTTCTGCCTCTTGTGCTGTATGTACATCCCTTGTTTTTTATCCTAGCTGGTAAGTTGCAACAATTCTAGCCAAGTCTATGTGGGGTTTTCAGCTCCTCTTGCACTAGTTTTAATCAAGAGTATTGCCAGACACTGTGATTCCATGAAATGGAGAACTGAAATGCAAAAATAAACATTAATATGTATTCTTTGCAAGGAGAGCTGAAGGCCCCCAATCTTTCAAACGTAATTAATTCTGCTAAACCTAAGGATGTACATGTGTGCTCTCTCCTTGTGTGTTAGAGTTTGTGTCTGTCTGACAATGTGTATGTACAAATATGGAAGAAAATGAAATGTGCTCAATGCTTGGCCATAGGTCTAAAAGTGTTCTAAAACATACCCAGAAAACAAGCAGCAGCATATTTAGTCAGGTATTTCACATGAGAAGTAAGCTGTTATCAGTTTTCTTATCAGCTGATGCCTCTGCAAGTTTTGTTGGCTGGTGGAGCAATTTCCAAACCAACATACTTCTTATGGGGTGGGAATATCTTGCCACTACCTTTTGGTTAGGGATGTTTAGCTCACAATTAAGGAAGAACTGAAAAGTGGGAAAAATCCCAGTGCCTGTTAGATACAAGGCTAAGTCAAGATTCAAGTAACTTGTGTCTGATGCCAGCTCTATTTTAGCACATACTAAGACAGGTCTTACAAGCCTCAGTTTACACCCACTCACTTGAATATGCTTGGCACAGGCTGGAAATTATTGTGAAATGCTGTCTTTTAACTCGCAAGGACTATTCATAATTAAAAAACAGCCCAAAGCCAAGTTCAATATTTATTGAGGTTGTACTCAGTGATACCCTAAAATAGTCAAAGTGAGGATTAAGGATTAAATAAACCTCGCAAAACGAAGCAATTTACAAGAACAGTAAAATGACTAATATGGGTGCCTAAAGGAGCAGATGATGGCAGCAGCAAAGTCAGTCTCAACCTGCCTAATCCTGTAGTATTTGTAACTGACTTTCAAGCTTTATCAAAGTGCAAGGCTGCTTTACCAAGGGACTGAATCACAGCTGCATGGCAGAAGAGTCTGTATGCAGCAAGCAGTTGGGATTTTCGAGGAGACCAGTTCGATTTCCTTGCTCTCCTGTTGAGTGCTGCTGAGAAACACGTGAACATCTTCCCTCAGATTTATTACATTGATGCAAACTGCCTCACCCCTTAAATCCTTGTGATTAGGCAGGCAGGGCCTATTATGTATGGTCTCTAGGGAATATCACACTTCTGGTCTGAAAATATTCCTTGGCAGTGCTTTTATCCATGGGCTGCAGAGAAAAGTAGGAAAAGCAGCCATGTGCTGCCATCTTTTTCTTTTTTTTTTTTTAAGATGGGAAGTTTTCTATCTAGTATATCAAAAGTTTAGGAAAACACTGATCTCTGTGCAGTTGCTGCTCAGAGCACAAAACAAAAACAAACTGTGTGGAGGGGTTCCCCCCTCCCCCCAGTATTACTTTTCAGTATTTCATGATGACTTAATTTCAAGCTGCATTTTAAGGGGCATTTACTGAGTTGGTTTTTTTCTTTTGTATTGTTCCTAGTTTCTGCAATACTGCTTCTGAGTTAATGTAGTCATGAATCATTTTTCCAAAGGAGACAGTTATCTAAAAATGACAGTAGGGTTTTGAAAAATTAAGTAAGAAGCCAAAATAGGAGCATGGGTGCATAAGCAATACCAAGGGAGGATTAACTGCTGATATCTAAAATGTTCCTGACTATACTTTGATTGTTACTCACCCGTTATTTGGATTTACATTGTTGGAATATTTCTGCATTTGTTGTTGTTTGAACTTCCCCAGGAACATCCCAAATAATAGGTTAGTAACACTCCAGACTAGCAAAGAGCATGAGAAAGACGTGATGACGAGATTCCAGATACTTTCCAGCTTTTGGATGGAACGCAGGTGTCAGGACACAAAGGCATGCTGTCACTGATGCCCTGTGCCAGGATGGGGCTGCTGTGCTGCATGCATTTCTCCAGATACGACAGCGATCCTAGAAACAAGCGATCCAAAGATAGTCCTTAGGTCAGCGCTGAAACGGATCCTCGCTCTGGAGGGTATGGACAGCACCTCTCTGACATCCCATAGTTGCTGAGCTAGTGCTCAGCAACAAGCTGCCTTCATGTTGTCGAATGCTTCAGTCATCTGATCACTGTGCCGTAAGGATGGGTTTATTTGCTTAAATAAAGAGCAGAAACAAGTGTAAAATGTGCATTACCTTTATCTCCAGCATCAGAGTGGGGAAGAAAAGGTAGCAGGCAAACACCCCCTGGCAGCACTTGACGCATTGTCCTCTTTGGAGGTTTCTTGTGCAGCCTCAGTAGGTCTTTTGGCTTCATTTGACCTCTGCATTTATAGCCTTAGAACAGGGTAAGTAGGTCATGTAAAATAAATCACTGCTTTTCAGTAGTGCTTCATTGGGCATTATAGATCACTGTAGATGTAAGACTATTTAATGTGTGCATGAGCCTATGAAAACAGTTTTTCATCATAAGCCTTAATCTGGTGTGGAGCTTGGAGACTGTTATTATATGAACCCCGAGGGAGAAAAGATTAGGTTCCAAGATTTTGGCTGCAAAATGCTAAGGCTAAGTCATCAGAATTTTAAGCTGTTCAGTGACCAAAGTTATTTTTGGAAGTGAATTATTGATGACACATCCCCACAGCCCTTTGCACGCAACCTCAGCTGTCACATTCCTCCCTGCCTAGCTACAAAACGCATCTGATGCTCTTATATGGTCTCTTGGCTGGGGCTGTTGGCCTTGTAGCCTCTCAGCAGTTCAGAGGTTTGTGCCCACTTGCAGGTTAACTGGTCTCCTACAATAAAAAAAAACAAAACAGGGAAATCGGAATTTGGAAGGCTGTCATTGCACTCACACATCCTTGGATATTCTTTCTCAGTAACACATCTTCCTGAGTAGGTATTTTTACATCAGTACAATTCTGTCTCACCCTTTATGCAGAGGGAGCATCCAAGACTGACAAGGAACAAAACATTTACACCCTGCATTTCAGCTGGCTGTTCAGAAAGCAAGAGCAGCAGTATAGAATGTTTTTGAAGTGGACAATTTCCTCTCAAGGAGGATGGATACGTGGTTCTCTTTTATGTAGCTCATATTTAAGATTTTAAAATCACTACTTCCAGCAACAAAAATCCAGCTGGCACACCTGCCACTTAGTGTAACATATCTAACATTTACAGAGGAAAGAGGATCAGGAAAAGAGGGGTTTAGGGATCCAGATCCTAACAAAAGTTCAAAAGCTGAATCAAAAGGAAAAAATAATCACTATCTTACATCTGTCCTTCAAGCTTGCATGTATGCACACAGTACTGAATTGCACAGAGGTGACAAAATCAGCCTAAAGAAGTGACAGCATAATGTGTTCTCCAGCCTAATGTTACATAGCAACATTTCAACAAGAGTTTCCTAAATCTCCATCCACACTTGTCTTTGTCACATGGGCGCTGCTGGTGAAAACTTCCATGCATACTTGTAAACTACTTCCTAGAAACTTGCAGGTGTCACATGGAGAAATAACTCAGCAGCCAGTACTGAAGAGCACCAAGATAGGTAAAAAGCAAACTTTAAAAAAAAGGAGCAGCTGTGGCAACCTGAAGAAGTGTAGAACATAATGTGGGTAGTAGAAAAACTGAGGCTAAGTTTGTTAGCAGATAAAACAAAACTGGAAAAAGAATGGTTGAAAACTCAATTTTAATTAAGCCCGTAACTGGAAAAAAACACCCTGGAATAAAAAATAAAAAAATAGTCCAAGTATGCCAAGTGAGTATACTTTGTCAAGTTATTTACAAAGCTGAAGCCAGAATATCTTCTGGAGTTGCCATATAGGACCACAAGCAAGATTAAATAACCAAGCCTTCATGGTATCACACATGAAAGAAGACAAACCCTTACAGGATAAGCTGTCAGAGCCTTTACAGTCCTCTGTGCTATATTCCTGTTCCTTGGGGTCTTAATTTGTGTGATATAGCTGAGGGCAAGCTTTCTGGATAAGAGGTCATTATTTTAACAGATAAATACATAGGCAAAATAAATTCTCCTCCTGCTTTCTAACTTGGAGTAGCCAAGAGAAGGAGGCACAGTTCTGAATGACTGACTGTGCTTGGTTAAAAGCCATCTTACCAATATAACTGAGGAATATGTATGATATCTTAAAAAGTGAGAGCAACTTCAGCACCTATAGGGTTTTACCAGGTTAACTGTCAGAATGACTTGGCTCACATTCTCAAATGAATTAGCTGTAGAAAAATAAAGCTTCATGTAAGTTTTCTGGCCATGTACTGCTGTTAATTAGTACCAACACAGATTCCTTTGAACAAGCTTCCTTCAGCAGGAGGGAAAAAATATGCCTAATACCATCGTACTTAGCAAAGAAGAATACACACTTTGACATGAAAGTACTGCTAGAAAACCCATCAGTATTAAAAGGAAGCAAAAGCTGGGTATAGTAACTGCTTAAGAATTAGATGTTCTCTGCTGGCCATGAGGCAATTGTAACAGTCCTCCTTAACCATTTCTTTGGTAAACTACTTCCACAGTAGTCAGATCCCACTTCAAAAACCTGAGATCAAAGACTTCTGCAGCTACATTTTCAAAGATGCCAGCAGATGCTGCTAGGAGCATTTCAGAACCCTGTGACACTGAACAAAACACTATGAAAATGAGTTTTCTAGCTTGACTTGCAACTGCAAGAAAAATACAATGAACACACCTGCATTTGTAAATGCATAATAGAAATGTCATTCTTCACAAAAGATTTTGAGGTAATTTATCTATATAGCAATCTTTATTTCAAAATGGCAATTATTACAAAAATGTAAAAATCCAGCTAAACCAGAAACATTGAGATTATTTTCCTGGACTATCAACTCCAGGGAATGTTTGTCCTGTAGCCTTTTCCTCAAAATATTTTCCCCGCTTCCAGTCTGATTACAGGTGCAAATGTGCCTAAATGGCCTGGAATAGATAAATATATTGAAAAAAGACAAAAAGCTTTGAAGGTAAATGCATGCAACAAGTTCTATCAGGAAGAAACGGTTAAAAATAAACATAAATGTAGAGATAATTGGCAGGTATCCAGGGATTTGCTCAGTCATCCTTGTCTTTTGCTCCATGTTTCAGGATGCGCGTGAATTCGATGTAGTTGAAATTGCCCTTCTTGTCGATGGGGGCCTCTCTGTAAAGCTCATCCACCTCTTCATCCGTGAACCTGTCTCCCATGGTGGTCAGCAGCTCCCGCAGGTAGTCTTCTTGGATGAACCCTGGAGTACAGTGTAGGAGGACAGGAGTTTTTCCATTTATCTGCTAATACATGGCTGATCATCTCTTTCTTTGAGTTCTTTCCCTAAATTAAAGATACCTACAGTCTTTGTCTGCCAAATTAAAACAATGTCATTAAAGCCAAATAAAATTGCCAAATAATTACAAGGATTAAATCAAATTGGGCATTTAGCTTGAAAAGTCTGACTACTTCAAATAAAGACCATTATATGCTTTGCCAGTGGTGGTCCAAAGAATACAAAAAATTATCAGTATTCATATTGGACATCCTTCTCAACAGCAGGGCTACACTCCCAATAGCACCAAGAAACTTCTAACAACTCAGTATTTTAAAAATCACAAAGCAGATCAGTTTACCTTGAGCATTGCTATTGAAAAATCACAAAAAAAAAAGGCATGGAACTTGCCTATTAACATTCAACAAGTGCATGAAACATGGGAAAGTTTACAACATCTCATATTGACCTTAAATTGGTGGTAAAACTCAGATTTACCAGACTGGTTGCAAAGAATAAATTTTTGGAATGGTTTATTAAAAAAGTAGGTGTGTATAATTTATGATTGCCTCCATCATCACTCCTGTGAGTTACACAAGAATTTGCTTGCATTCATTTTCTTCTCCTTTTAGTGCAGCTTAACAGAAGGAAGGTGGATAAAAATTGCTGACAGAAAACAAGTTCTTCATAAAAGCACAGCAGCTTTGAATACAATGATTCCCCCCCATAAAAGCAGCCCCAAAGGTGAATTTTAAGTAAGGAATAAATTAAGACCCTGGTTTCTGATCAACATCTTTTATACTTTCTTCTCTCTTGAACAACAGAACAAACTGCCAGAAATTTTAAATTTCTACAGAGACTAAAAAGGCAAATTTAGCACATGAGGATACAGGCGTGATTTTCAGTTTGCAGAAATTAAAATTTTCAAAGTTAAAAAAATGAACTCTCACTGCTTCTGGGAACACAAGTATTTATTGTTACAGAAGTAACAATAAAAAATTTCAAAAATAAAAATATTTTTAAAATATTATAAATTAAATAGAAGAAGAAGTAATACATGTACACTGTTGCTTCACCCACGTACCTGTTGCTTCTTCATCAAAGCAAGCAAAAGCATTCCTGATTACATCCTCCGGGTCGGTGCCATTTAACTTCTCACCAAACATGGTGAGAAACATCGTGAAGTTGATGGGGCCCGGAGCCTCATTCATCATGGCATCCAGGTATTCATCTGTTGGATTCTTTCCTACAAACAAAGGGATTCATACTTGGTTTAGCTGAAAACTAAACTACTGAAATAGTAAGGTCAATACAAACTGGGTGTTAAAACAAACGGAGTGTGACAGTGAGACACCACACCTCCCATATCCCAAACTCTCAGCATTTTGAATTTTGCAGCACAAATTTGCCTGGCAAGCACGAACAGCAAAGGCACATTACCAAGGGAGGCGAGCATGTCGTGCAAGTCCTCTTTGTCAATGAAGCCATCCCTGTTCTGGTCGATCATGTTGAAGGCCTCCTTGAATTCCTGGATCTGCGACTGATCAAACATCGCAAATACATTGGAAGTGGCGCGCTGAGGGCGCTTCTTGGTGGTCTTTGTCTTTGCCCTTTTGCTAGACATGGTGGCTGTTGGTTCTAAGGAGACAGAAACACATCCAAGATTTAGCCTTATCAAATCACACTGCAAGTGTATGGGTAGTATGGGTAGTTTCATGTTATTGGCATATACCCCAAAGTACGCATTTATTTCCATATCTCCTGCTCCATTTTCTTTCAGACTTCACTTCCTATTCAAGCATAAAGCCTTGGAGGATTCAGGGACCAGCACTGCAGGCCAATAGCAGGTTACATCAAAAAAACCAAATCAAATCATAGCTCTTGAAATTAAACTCACACAGTGATTGTATTGCTGATTCAATACTCCACCTGCATCTTCCACAAATTAAGATGACTACATATTTGGGACTTGGGAGGCACTGTTGACATTGAAGGATATGTGCTGCTAAACTATCACAGTAGTTAAATAGATCAGACAGTATGCTAAACTAACATTTTGGAGGGGAAAAAATGTATTTTAGGCTCTGAATAGCATTTTGTTAGACTACCTGCTGTTAAGAGAGAGAGAGCACCGAGTTAGTTCAAAAGCTCTACAGTGCTATTCCCTTACACAGTGCAACTACTACACAACACATGCAAATGTCAGCATACTCTTTTTAAAATTAATTAAAGGCATAATAGCTACAAAAATGTGGAGACCATTTATTTTTAACTACCAATCCTTAGAAATATTTATATATTTTTATAAATTTTCAAGTATCACAGGTATACCAATGTCATTGTTTCCCTTGAAGCTGTCAAATGAAGAAATAAATGGTAGATTATTATATATTATAACACTAATAGATTCAGGGTAGAAATGAAGCTTTTAAATTAACTATATCTCTTTATCTGGGAAAATACATGTAGTGTTCCAATTAAATGTATGACAGCACAAACTCAAAAAGCTGAGTCATTCACTGAAAGGCAAACACAAAGCCGCCAAGACTGCTTTTGGATCAGAAGTTAGACCCTTTTTAATGTTGTTTCCAAAAGTCTCATAATCTCTGCTTGCATTAGCTAAAACTAAAGTGTAATTCATACTGCCATAATCCTTCATAATACTCAAATGAAGTGCTATGCAAATAAGATTCCTTCCATCCTTGACTCTGAATTTTACAGAAAGCACCTATAGCAAGTGTTTGCTCAAAGAAGAAAGGTTTAAGCTTATATTCTGAAATTTACACTAAGTATTAATTTTATAACTTAGAAACAAATTATCTGGTCAGAAATGCAATGCTAATCAGAGTCATAGCACAGTGTTAACTCTTTCTGAGATAGTTTGCTCAAAGACGGAATATTTTCTGTTAGACTCCTGAAAAACAAGACTGAAGTCACTAACTGGGATTCATCCTTAAAAAAAAAAAGGGAGTAAAATTACACAAAGTAACTCCCTTATACAAGCAACCCACTATGCAGGCAAAAAGCAGTTATTTTTTGGGGTTTTTTAAACTAAAAGGAAAGACATTTTACCTTGCTTTGTATTAGATACCTGACAGGGTGTACCAAGCATCTGGATCATAAAAGGAAATTCCATGGTTACGTCCTTCTCAGTCTGTCCACACAGACAGCTACTGATTTCCCCTGCTCATTCCACACTTTTAAATCCTACGTGCATCTACAACGTTCTTCTGACGTACAAAACAAACCATTATGTCCCGAACTAAAAATAGCCCGTGAAATGCAACTGCGCATCGCTCAACAACGCAGACATTCTCTTCATTGCACTCACTAACCACGAGCTAACTGAGATGTCTGGCCTCCACAACACTGCAACAAATAAATGTGAACTCCTGACTTAGAGATATTTATGTAGACAGCTGACAACAAAGGTAGTTTGCTTTCAAGCTGCAGCCAAGGGTTGTGCATAACTTTGGTGGTTTTCTTACTGCTGTAAAAACCCTCAGGCAAGCTCTCATTTAACTCTGGATTATTGATTAGAAGTTCCAAAACTACTCAGAATAGAACCAAACACTATCTTCTAATAACTACTCTCTGAAATAATGCAATTTTCAGGATATGGCTCATTCAATATAAACAAAAAAGTTTACTCTGCACATGCTGATACTGACCAAATTGATTTTTGCCTTTTTACTTCTATATATCTCCATATTCTTTACATATATATTTGCAGCTCTGTATTCTATTATTGTATTCATAGCTAGCATTTTACCTACTCAATTAGAAAGACAAAATACATTCCCTAGAAGCTCCTAGGCCTGGGGATCCAAGCTTAGATTCTTTGGGAACCCAGATCAAAACAGCTTCCCAACTTTTTCATAAACAAAGTTTAGTTCCTATCTAAAGGTGAAGGGGTTCAGAAAAGGGTAGAGCCAGAGGGGGAATTACCTCATCACCTATGTCTCTAATTGGAGATTCTTGTCAGTTATGCTAATTTGCTGAACATATAAAATTGTATGCATTTGTTACAGTACGCATCTTCAGTGCTTTTTTTAATCCAGCATGTTGTGCACCATAAGGATCCTTATAAAGGTAATCCCTTTTTATCACCTGTGTCTGGCTTGTAATTTTAGGATCAGTGAAAAGTGCTGCAAAGACAGTGTTCTCAGCAAGTTACTACCTGTAATTCCCTCACCTACAATTCAATCCTAAGCAAGAGGAGCTAACAAAAGCAGACAGTCAGCACATTCTTTTTAATTCTGTTGAGAAGATGATCTATCAGAGTACATTTTGCTAGAAAAAATTTAAGAAGTGCCAATGCTTGCATTACTATTTTCTAAGTTTCTCTGAACCAGGCTTGAGAACTCATCCAGTCCAAAAGAGCTGTCAACCTAGCTACAGAGAAACATCAGATCTCACAGGACTGCAGTGCCCTTCAGCACAGGTTTGGTGTAGCTGTGCCTGAAACACTGGACTCAGCTCCAGGAATCTCTGTGAGAAAGAGGGTGGTACAATTTGGAATATGTTCAGAAAACCAAAGTCATCAATCCAGTTAGCCAAAGAGATCAATTTATGATTTAAAAGTTCCAAAACTGTTTGCACTTTGTGTTATCCAACAAAAACACCCACACCTAATCAAATGCTTTTGTAACTGAAATAGGGTTAGTATAGGCTGCAAGTAGAATTTCAGTAGATAAAAAGTGGGAATACTTCACATTAGATAGTGCAAGTCATGACATGCAGGTTTAGTCCCTGTTGTTTAATACTATGCTGCACTGAATGGAGTGGGTCCTGTTTTGGAAGCTGTCCAAGAAACTTCAAATGTAAAACTTTATCTACCTGTGAGACACATCATAAGGTATTTCTGAAAATGTCACCTTCCTTCAGGAAGATTTTCACATATTAAAAAAATAATAAATAGATAGTAGCAGCACTCTGCTGCTCTGTGCTGCCCGTACTGTCATTTGTTAAGTCACAGTGGGTATCAAACCACAAAAATACAGTCATCTTGTGGTCCCTTCCTCTGGGAAAGTGATAAACCCTTGGAGAAAAAAAACCCAAGCAACTAAAAATTCTGAGCCAAGCAATAAGCTGTGAAAATTTACAGCCCACTAACTGTGGCGCAGGTTGGACCTGTTCAGAGGCAGTGATCAAAAGTTATGCTTTAGAAAACACTCCCATGTTTCAAAACTATTTATATTGTAATAATTGAAAAATCTATCACTGAAAAAACCAAACTACCACACAAGAAATCCCCAAACGCATAGCCAAGAAAGTCTCTACATGAACTTAGATAGAACATCAATCTCAAAAGTCAACCTTAAAGCTAAATCCCAAATTCTGTCCACGTACTCAATTATAGCATCACATACAGTCACACATCCATCACAATCTGGGTGGCAACAGGAAGAGATAAGAGCAAGGTGCTCTCCAGCAGATCTGTGTCAAGGCTCAATAAAGAACAGATTACACTTTATAAAAGCAAGCTAGCAAAAACCAAACCCTACACTGTCCCACCCAGTCTTAAAAGCCACTTTAACACACTCATCCCTATTAAGTTTCCTAAAACCCTTGTACAGGAGTCACACTTGCCTCAAAATCCAGCGCCAGTGAGTCAACACAGTTTGTCTGCAAAAGAGAAAATAAGGCTCAGAAGTGACCTTATGCTGTCTCAAACCACCTGAAAATAGAGTGTAGCCAAATGGGGATCGGACTCTTCTCCCAATCAACAAGCAACAGGATGAGACGACAGTCTGAAACTGTGCCAAGTTTAGGCTGGCCATTAGGAAGAACTTCTTCACAGAATGGGTGGTTAGACAATGGAATGGGCTGCCCAGGGAGGTGGTGGAGTCACCGTCCCTGGAGGTGTTTAAGTGAAGACCGGGTGTGGCACTCAGTGCCATGGTCTAGCTCCCATGGTGGTCGGTCACAGGTTGACAGGTTGGACTCGATCATCTCGGAGGTCTTTTCTAACCTAATTGATTCTGGGGTTCTGAAAGCCGGGGAACCACTGCACGCAGTCCCCTGTGCGGCTATGGTTACTCCAAATGGTGAGCAGGAAGCGACAGACCCAGTCCCACTACCTCACCTCTTCGGCCGCAGCAGCTCCCAGCCCTGCCCCTCCCATGCTCTGACAAAGACCATGAAACACCCGCAGGGGCTCGATGTAGCCGGGAGGCTGCCGAGCCCTTCCGACACGGAGACAAACAGCACCTTTTAACACCGGTTTCCTGAAATGATGCTCAGGGAGCTCGTCCCCGCGGGCATCGTCCCCGTGGCGTCCCGCCCTGCCAGGCTCACAGGGCGGGGTCGCGGGGCCCGGAGCCGGGGTCTCCCCCAGCTCCAGCCCTAGAGCGGATCCTCATCAAGAANGGGGCTGCGCGGCCCTGCCGCCTGCCAGCGCTGCTCCGGCCTCCTGCTCCGCCGGCCCCAGGGGCTCCGCCGGAACAACGCGGCCCCTTCTCGGCTGCTTGTGACTGCCGGGGGGGAGCCGGTAACACGGAGCAGCAGGATGGGTCAGGTTGGGAGGGACCGCAGTGGGTCATCTGGTGCAGCCTCTCCGCTCAAGCACATAGCACACGATTGCATCCAGACGGTGATGTCCTCATCATCCAGTGAGGGAGACTCCGGACCCTCTCTGGCTGTGGTCATTCACACAGTGAAGAAGTTCTTCCTCATATTCAGTGACACTTCTGTACATCTTACTGCTTGGCACCACCGAGAAGAGCCTGGCTCCATCCTCTTAACCTTCCCTTCAAATACTTAATTTAAAAGGCCCCCTCTCAATCATCTCTCCTCGAGGCTGAACAGGCCCAGCTGCCTCAGCCTTTCCTCTAAGAGAGATGCTCTAGTCGTTTGATCGACTCTGCAGCTCTGAACAGCCCAACACGTGGTATGGCACTGTCCTGCATGCTCAGCAGGTGCTAGTGTGTCTGGAAGATTGACAGATGATCACAGGATATCCTGACTTGGAAGGGACCTGCAGAAGTCATGAAAGTCCAGCTCCTGGCGCTGCACAGGATACCCCAAGGATCGCACCTTGTGCCTGAAAGCATTATCCAAACGCTCCTTGAACTCTGTCAGGCTGGTGCTGTGACCGCTTCCCGGGGGGAACCTGTTCCAGTTCCCAACCATCCTCTGGAAGAAGAACCTTTTCCTAGTAAATAATACTGGTTTTAAGCTGAGATGAAGAGGAGTATCCTCTTCATCCAAAAAACATCATCCAAAAAATGGTGACCACAGCTCAAAGAAACAAACAGCATCATTTAATAAATAGGTATCACAGCCACTGCCTATGTGGCCTAATTTATAACTTTGCATGTAGTTCTACTTACTTGATTTTTACAGAGTTTGCAACTGTATATATAAAGTCACATAGTCTGTGAAAGCAGTAAGAGATTACACATATTTCTGATTTTTTTGAGGGAAATAACTGATTGTCCAGGAGGTGTGCACCCTGCCATGGGATCCCCTGGCAGAGAGCACACCTCTGGGGGAACACTGACTCTGCTCATTAAGTGCTATAAAAGAAGTAAGAGTAAAGAGTAAAAGAAGCCCCTTGCTGTTTTCCCCATCCCTGCTACTGCTGGCAGTATTTTTTACCTATAGGGAATTGTGGTGGTTGCTGTCACATCTCCCACCTTTCCCTGGGCACTGGTAGGATGCTGCAGGCTGCCTAATTGGGATGAGCCTGTTGTGTGATAACAGGCAGTTCCTGACCCTGAACACGTGTGTTTCTGTTGCAGAGTGGCTCCAACATGGATGCTGAGACAGGCTTTCCTCTCATGATCCAGAAATGGGTCACTCCTCCAGCTGCGTACAAAACCCATGCATGCTCTGCATCTCTTTTTCCATCTTTGTTTCTTATGTTTCTTACGAGTCCATGGCTTCCACAGCTGGAGTCAGTGGTGAAATTGATACATTATTTATCCAAGTTAGCCTTGATATGAGCAGAAATCATAATATTTATTTATTTAAAAGTATTTTTTATCCAACAGTTAAATAAATAATACAATGACAATGATTTTCTAATGTTTTCCTTCAAAAATCAGTACAGCACTAACTCAATGTTCTTTTTTATGACCTATACTAAAATAATATTTTGGCTTATGTGAAATTGGAAAAATGGAAATAACAAGCAAAGCCTAAAATGTCAGTAAAGAATATTTAGGAAGACCTGTCAGAATAATCCTTCATACTTGGGATCTGTGTCTGGAGAGTCCTGGATATGAGCAGCTGTTGGGTTTAATATTTAACATAATGAGTAATACTTAAAATATTGACTAACCACAGAGGACTTTGGCCTGCACTCTAAATCACCATAGTTGATTAACCTTTTACAATTTTTTTTTCTGAATAATTTCTTAGTGGGAAAGGGTGAGCAAGCTTTTATTTTGAGAAGTAGGGAGAAACTGACTCAGTAGATTTCAGGAATCTTTAAGAAACACAGAAATAATATTGGCTTGTGAAGAGCAATCCTGTTTCCACAAAAAGATAATTACCCAGTTCCAAAAAATTACAGGAGTCATTTGTTGCATTCTTCTCATTAAACCTCCTTCTACTGTATAAAAGTTCCATGAGTTTACTTTACAGATAGTGAAACTGAAACACAAGTGAGGTAGACCACCATAAATGCTAAAGATGAGGTTTGGGAATGTAAAGGTACTGTCAATAAGTTAGGTCGTTTTGGAGTCTGCTTCCAACAGGACTTGGAAGTTTTGTACTGTGAGTTTCCATTATTTGCACACCTAAGTAATTTTAGAATCTGCCTTAAAGTGGCTTACCTGCTTCTTCCTCAGAGGCCAGAGGTCCCTAAAGAAAGAAGTTATTTCAAGGCTGCTTTTAAACTCAGTCTTGACTATATCCAGACTTAGGCTAATCGTTCTGGGTTGTTTTTGTGGGTAGTCTCACTGCAATAAATAAAGTATTAATGGAGCCACCAGGCTCCTCTCTTGCCTGGCAGGCATTCTGCCCAACTCTGTGGTGGTGTGTCTGGAGAAGGATCAGCTGTCCCAGGCGCTCCTGGCCTCTGCCATCTCTGCATTTTGCATCTTCCATGTCTTTTCATGCTCTGTCATTATTAGGCTCTCCACTGCTGTGTTCTATACAGTGCTTAGGAACTCAACACCTTACTCTGCATGTGGGTTGTTATTTCCCACATACATCAAATACCATTTCCCTCCATGGAAATGACAATAAAGTAATTCAGGCTGGCAGGAGAAGCCTAAAGTAAATAGATCAATTTACCAAGCAGAGTCTGCAGCCGCCAAAATCCTGGCTATGTGGGTATAAAGAGCCATGATATCACATCTCTTCTTCAGTGTGTCTCCTCTGTGAGGATGCACTTTACTGGGAGAAGGATCCTTTAGTGAACTGCATACTTGTACAAATCCCCAGACAACACAGTGGGACCTAGGGTATTCAAAGAACAAAAAAGCAAAGCACCATATTCAAATAAATGATTTACCTACTCTAACCATAAGTCATATTTAGCAATTCGTTGAATGCTTTCCAAATGATTTGTTTTTGCAAGAAGTGAAATTATTACCAAAATAATTAAACAGAGCAACTCCAGCTCATTCTGGCTGGGGAAAGTAGGAGCCACATCATGGGCCTGGTGGTGCCGTTCTTAAGGCATTCATTCCTAGGGTGGGAATTTGTCCCTGTACCTCAGTGATGTACCCATGTGCCCGTAAGAAGCCAGGGGTGCTGTTACTTGCACCGCAAGCCGCCTGCTTACAGATTCTGGGGAGACTGAGCATGATTCCCTCACCTCGATTTCGGATTCCCACCGTGACCTGGACACGCCTGTGTCGCTGCACAGCGCTGGGAGCCGGGGTTCGGGCTTCGGGAGCCGGGAGCCGGTCCCGTACCGCCTGTCACCAGCAAGGGGAGCTCCGCATTTGGGTGGGAGCCGGGAGACAGCAGGAGAGGGGCCACGCTGTGGAATGGCATCAGATCGCTGCGGGGCTGAGTCCTGCTCTGGGCTGCGAAAGGAAGGGGAAAGACCCCACAAGTGCTGCGTGCTCTGGGGTGACGCTTGGGGCATTTCTGAGCTCCGCAAATAGTAGAATAGAATTACTGAATTATAGGATGATATGGGTTGGAAGGCACCTTTAAAGTTAATAGTCTAGTTCTTGGCTCCTGCCATGTGCAGGGACACCTCCTACTAGATCAGGCTGCTCAAACCCGTGTCCAGCCTGGCCTTGAACACTTGCAGGGATGGGGCATCCACAAATTCTCTGGGCAGCCTGTTCTGGTGCCTCACCACCCCTACAGGAAAGAGTTTCTTCCTAATATTATCTTTTTTTCCTTCCTGATATTATCTTTGGGGTTTTTTTTCTTCCTAATATTATCTCTTATCTTCCTATTACCTTCCTATCCTTATCTGCCCTCTTTCAGTTTGAAGCCATCTCCCCTTTTCCTATCACCACATGGCCATGCAAAAAGGTCCTCTCCAGCTCTCTCTTCCCCCTCTAGGAACTGGAAGGCTGCTATAAGTTGTCCTCAGAGCCTTCTCCAGGCTGAACAAAGGGGAGGTCTGCAGTCCTCAGATCACTTTTGAGGACCTCTGGATCTGCCCCAGCCTGTCCTTGGCTTTCCTGTTATCATAGAGCATTGCCAGTAGCAAGCAATGCCTGCCTCTACCAAGGGAAATTGCTTGATATTTTACGAAGTGAGGGCCTGCCTTG